GGGTGGGGGGGGGGTGTCATGCCGTGCAGCAGGCAGGGACAGGAGAGGGACACGGCTTCAGTGCCAACAGTGAGTGTTTAACCATGGTGGATGGTCTTCAAAATGTTACTCTCAGGCCTCTAAGTAACACCCCCAGCATAGAGAGAGGTGTTTCTGTGAGAACTGCAGTCAGGCGAGCGTCTGGCACCCACTTAGTTTTAATAGGGTGCAGGTCCCTCCACGTGGGTGCCTGGCTCTCCTCTCTGCATGCTGGTGACAGCAGCAGGGGGGATGCAGAGACCTGTTTGCAGGAACAATAGGGCAGGAATGATCCATCTGGATCCTGTCTCACACCAAATTTTTCAGAGGTATCACAGCCCTTCAACCGTTACAAACCTGAAACTGAACAATGTGAGCTCATCTCCTACAAGATCTGCGCCCCACCAGGACAACTGAGGCTTTTTGGGAAGCTTTTCCTTATTGCTTTTGACTTTCCTCTTAACGTGTTCCCGTAAAAGGTGATGCTGGAGAGATGCAGGCTCCAGCTGCCAGCCTGGATCACTCTCTCCACCGAGGGAAAAACTGCAGCCCTTGTAGCTCTGAAAATTGCACATCTGCCCCATTGCACTGGGGCAGCCTGAGCTTCAGTCAAGACCCCAGACCCCAGTGAAAACCAAAAGGGAAATTCTCCATGCCTTTGCAATACCAGGGCAGCAGCACCAAGAGCTTCCCTCTGCTCTTCCATTTCTAAAACACGGCACGTGCACGCGCACAAGAAAAACCAGGACAGAGGGGGTAATAAAAAGCAAATTAAAAAGGCAGCAGAGCTGTAAAATCCCGTCTGGTGAGATTCCGGCACTGAAAGGTGCAGCACCACTCTCCTTCAGAGCATCCCACAGCTCAAGCGAACAACTTGGCCCGTGGGGATGCATTCCTCCCCCAGCGCCAGCGCCTGGCCAAGGTAGCTCCACGCAGAGATTACCCTACAAGGGCAGGCCACGGCCGCGGGTGCTCGCTCCCGGCTCCCTGCCACGCCGGGGAGAGGGATGCCTGCCTCCTCCGCAGGGAGAGCGGGTGCCTGCGGCAGCCCCCGTGCTCCTGGGGGCTGCCCTCGCCCCCAGGTGCGGGTGCACGGGGCAGATGAGGACGAACGGCTCCTTTTCACTACATGCTGGAGGGTTTTTGTGATGGGACATGGAGATTTTGGTCCCTGCAGATTTTGAGCTCTCAGGGATGTGGAGCCTTGGCAGGCCCTGGCAGGGAGCATGACACACACTTGTCACCACACAGCCACCACTGCTGGCTGCTCTCCTCCGGGAGGATGCTAAAGCATAAAGCTGACACTGCTGAGATAAGCGGCCGAATCTGTCAGCGGTGGAGATGCTCACCCAAGGGTCCAACCTTGCCGACACATCAGTTGTGGTGGCAGGAGGCTGCGAGGCCCAGTGCTGCCCACCGGGGAGGGGACAGGTACCCAGACAGTGTGGCCACCACCTCACAGCTCCTGCAAACTTGCCTGGGGGCTGCCATCCTCACTGGGTGTAAGGACAAACAGCTGCGACAATTCTTGTGCATCAAAACTTCTGATTTTCAGTGACGCTGCTGCTGTTGGGGCAGAAAACATCTGTTCCTTGACTTACCCCTGCTTTTACCCTGGCACAGGTGAGAAATGGTGAAACCTGAGCACCCAGGCAGGCCCTGCTACTTAACATGCTGAAAACAAGTGAAAACACCACAGTGGTAACATCGACATCTGCGGTGGGTTTGGTTGGAGATGGTGAGGATGAGGAGGCCCAGGGACAGTGCAGGAAGGCAGGAGGGCAGCGCGGTGGCCACAGCAGCGGGCTGATGGTGCAGGGAGAGATGTGAGCAGTGGGGTTATCTCACTGTCCTGTCTGGATTTGGTACCTTTTGAGAACCACTCAGAGAAGAAACTTCTGCAAGGCCTTGGCACATATGCCTGGAAACCTTCCTGCATGCAACAGGGCTCAAAGAGCAATACATTTAAATTCATAGAGCATGGCAAATATTAAAAATACTAGGGCAAGAGGTCCTTGAGGGTGGCCAGACCCTGTGAGTCTGCCAGTGTGTACCTGTGTGACAGAACCCTGAGAGGACCCTGGAGAACATCACATTCCTGACCAGAACATCTGGGGGTCGCACCGAGCCAACCTAGCTCAGCCATGCACTTCTGCTTGCTATCTCACACTCACATTGCCCCCCAAAACTGAGACAGCAGAAACCTCAGAGGGGCCAGAGATGGATGAAGGCAGCAATACATGCAGAGCATGCGAGGTGAGAGGCCAGAGGTGACCGGGGTGATGGGGAGAGGAATGTGAAGCACTGATACCATTGTGAAAACTGAAGAGTCTCAGCTTTCTGCCACTTCAAGGACAAGGAAAATCCAGCGTAATGGAAACACAACTTATCTAAATCTGATCAAGGGAGAAACTTTTCCACGTAAAACCTGAATTAGCAGAACTCACAGCTGTACTTATGCATCCCTCAACTGAGCACCCTTGGCCATCCCTCAGAATATCCCATGCTGGAGACCATCCACAAGCATTGCCTTGCACAGACCACGCAGTAGCCTGGCCCCTGGCCAAAACTGCTATGCAAACGGTTCTTCATGGGCTTTTTAGACCTTATTTTGAAGCAAAACACAGAGGCCAGTGTGGGAAAAGAGATCCTGTCTGGGTACAAGGTCCCTGGGCTGGTTTTCCAAGCCATGTGCACCCAGACACGTTCCAAGCAGGTCCCCACCACACACAAGCAAGACCTTGGAGGAAGCACGGGGATACGGCATTTGGGGATGAGACACGTAAGAAAGCCAACCCTTGCTCTGGAGTCCTGCAGGTTTTCAACTGGTGCTCCCCGCTCCACGTGTGTCTTACCGTCCTGAGAATGCCTGGTAAAAAAATCACAATACCACATTTAAACGTGGCTTTTTGAGATTTTTTTTGCTCGCTTTTCAAAGACCAGAGGAATTAGGAAGATGCAGGATTTCAATTATTTCTTTGAAATGTGATGATTTAAGCATGATTTTGCCCCATAGCTGTGACTGAATGGGAAACCCTTTCTGGGTGAGACACAAAGTGACCCATGAGCATCAGCAGCATTGTGACCATGGGGATGAGGGCAGCTCACAGGACCTGGCACGTCGGGAGCACGGCATGGGAGGAGGAAACACTCTGAGCTGGTGTGATGGGACTTGGAAGGATCGTACACCTGCCAGAAACCCCACTGTGCTCGGAGCTGTGCTGGCAGAGCCGAAGAAAAGCCCTTCCTCCAACAGTGCTGAGTTTTTATAGAGAAATGCAAAGTGTGGGAGAAAGACAAACTCATCCCCAGATCACAGATGGTGAAGTGAAGACCGAGGGCATGCATGGGATGCAACAGCCAGGAATTAACCAGCTCTCCTACGCCCCAACCCAGTGCTGCGCCATAAAATGGTTGCTACAGGCTTGTAACCATACGATAAAATAGAACTGGGTGAGCCAAAGCACCCAGCAGTCTGTTGAGAGATGCAACAATTAAATTAAAATACGCTAGAAACAATTTCTATCTGGTCTGTGAAAACAGGAGCCCCTGAACCTCTGTTTTTTATCAGAGGCTTCTCTGAGCAGTCGCTGTGGTGATGCACCAGCTTGCTGCAGAAAGCAAGCTGATGTGAGCATCTGCAGTGCACCAGGACCTGCTGATGGGGAGGACGGACAGTTTGTGATTGTTTCCTGCTTGCAATAACTTCCCATCCTGTATTTCCAGCTTTTTGCATAGTTCTGCTCCATGAGAAACCAAACAGAGCTGTTACAATGACCCAAACCCCTTCTTGCTGGGGTTGGACAGACCTGCCTTCAGCCCTGAAAGGGAACAGTGGCTTTTCAAAATTTTCATGGGTCTTTATTAAAGGGTGAAGGCAAAAGGTTTGCTAGGACACTGGTTGCCTAAGGAATGAGAAAAGGTTTGAGCAAGACGATGCTGTGAAAGGACATCCAGTCCCCACACTCAAGTTGTTCATCCGCTCCCCAGAGCCACTACATCTTCCCTGGGCAGGACGGTGTCTCTCCTGCCTTTCTCCTGCTATCATTGTTGGGACAAGCAAACTCTAAAAAACGAATAAAATCCGTTTTCTTGGAGAGGGGCCAGCCCCATGGCAGGCACAGCACTGCTCAGCAGCCATGGCCCCGCAGCCACTGCAGAGAAAACCTGCAGATATATCGCCCGCAGCAACCTCTTTGTCAGAAATGAAAGAAAAGATTGTATCATCTTTTTGGAGGGCTGCCTAAACACATGCTGTGATTTACAGAGCAGAGCCCAGGAGCACGCAGGAACTGCTGCCCCAGTGTCACAGGAGCTGCTCCTCCCCTGTGCATGCCACAGGCTGGACCCTGAGAGATGCTGGCCAAGGACAACCCCATTAAAACCAATTTATAAGGTGTTCAGCTCTCATTTGATCTTAACATAGAAGCAGCAAACACAAGATAAGGATGGACATAGAGGGTGGAAGATTGAGTGGAAAAAAGGGAAGGGTTCCTGTTGGAAACCAGTGTTTGATTTATTTTTGCTTTATAAGAGAAGGGATCCAGTTCCCAGAGGTTTGAGAGAAGCTGGATAAACACATGTGGCAGATTTATCTACTGCTCCAGCTCTTAAGGGAGTATTTCAAGCAGATGTAAGTACTAACTGCTCTGCCAGACGTGGCACCTGGTAAGGAAGGGGGTAGGAGAAAAAGTCCCTTTTTCACAGCAAAAGTGGGTGAACATGCAGGTGCAGACATGACGTGAGAGGAGGAGGTGAGCGAGATGTCCACAAAGCCACCAAGAACCCCAATCAAGGGAGCACAAAGCAAACGTAACCAAGTGGGGTGCAGACCGTGCTCACCATCCAGGTGGTTGCGGGAAAGGTACTTGAGTCCTTCGTCCAGCAGGATAACGGGCAGGGAGATCTTCATTACAACCACCCACTGCGGCCAGCTCAGGGGGGTTACCTGGAAGATGAGCTGCAAGGCAGAATGGGTTGGACATGTCAGTGGGGAAGGAGGTGGGATTTCTTTTGTTTGTTTTAAAGGTCGGGTTGTTGTATGGCACAGCTTGAGAGAAGGTCAACCTAGGTACAAGGAGGGAGGATCCAGATAGCCCAAAGAAGAGGATTTCTTCAAGGTTTGCCATGAGCCCAAGGGCGTCTTGACCAGGATCAGTCAACAACTATGTCCTTCATCTCTCCTGCAGATGAGGAAAGTGAGGCACAAGGTAGGGGTAGGACTGTATGTGCTCACAGGTGCTTAGCAGGGAACAAAGGACAATGCAACCTCCTGGGCACAACAACTGTTTCATCTTAAACACCTTTAAGTATCAACTGAGGCATCACCAGCCTTGGCCTGCAAAAGGAGGCGATGCCTCCGAAAGGAGCTGAGATATCCATACCCCTTTGCACTGCCTATAAGGAGAGCTTCTGACTTAAGTAAAGGCTCACTGGGGCAGGGTGTCTCCCAGTGCCCATGTTGGTTCATGTCACAGGACCTGGTCCTGAGGGCACAAGCTGAGGACAACCATTCCAGAAGTTTCCAGACCCAAAGACTGCTCCTGGGATGTCCTCATCCACAGGAGGAACCCCTGGGCTGCACGTGGAGGTGGCACAAGGCACTCACAGGCATGGGCTTGACGTAGAGGATGAGGAAGTGCAGAGCCATGGATATGACAATGGCCCCCAGCAGCCAGATGTTGAGCCATGGTGGCATCCGCAGCAGTGACTGGTTCTCAGAGACACTGTGAAAGCGAGGGGACAGCGTTAGCCCCAGTAACCTCCTGCTCCCTGCACCCGCCCAAACTGGGGGTTCCAATGCCTCTCCAAGGTACAGGGCCGTATGCTACAGCCCTTCTCTTCCAGACTGTTCAGCTTCAGGCTTTGCTGCAATTTGGATCTGGATACCCATCCTCAATGCAACCAGCCACGCACAGATTAGCGCTGGTCATTAACAAAGCCAACCCGCTAACGGATGCGGATCCAGTCCTTCCTCCACTGCTATCAACAGCAGCACATCGGCTTGGGGGAGCTTATTTACAGCAGACCCAGTGGTCCCCTGTGGGATGATCTGAATGGCTCCGCTGAGTCAAAGCAAAGCCCTCAGTCCACCAACTCCAAGTGGCCCTACACAAAATCATCCGTGCATAGAGCTACAGAGCACCCCTGCAGCCACCCTACCTGTTCAGAGCATTGCACATTTCGATTGTCACCAGCACAGACAGAGCCATCGTAGTCGGGTATCGGGACTCGAAGATCTCACAGTCGATTCCTTCAAAGATGGGGTTGTCCTCAGTGCACCTCATGAAGTTCCTCTGTTGGCACAGGAAACTGCAGCTAAATATATGACAGAGCAGCAGAGTAGGAAAGACAGGAAAGAGGAGGGAGAGGTCGGCTGGTTGGGGGGCACATGGTGAACCTTGATAATTAGAGCTGCTGTTAAATATCTCACAGTTCAGAGCAACTGATAAACCGGTCTAAAGTGACCCAGCTTCTGCTGTGGTTGGGGCTTTGGGGTTATGGCTGGATAGTGGCTCGGAGATTTTCACGTTCAGTTAATAAGGTGTTTGAGCACACACAGGTCTCCATCAAAAACACATCTCATTGCATATGACATTGGGGTGCAATGGCACCCGCTTTCCCACCACCTTGTTCAGACCTACAGGAATGTAAAAATCAATCCCTTTCAATACGGGATCAAGTACTGGAGCCACTTTCAGCTTCTTTGGATCAAGTTGGTTGCTGGCAGAAGGAAGGCTGGAAACATGACCCTGAGGGAGAAAATTTGCTTTTCTTTTTAAATTAATACCTCCTCCACCAAGAATTTGGAAATACTACAATAACCACAGAAAGAAGGTAGAAGACCCCAATGTGTGAATCCATGCCTGAATCCATGCCCTCACCCACCTGTTCAACATGTCAGCCCGTTCTCCTCCCAACTCACCAGCTGATGGAAGGAAACCTGCGGTCCCTCGGCGTCGTACAAAAACCACCAGGTCGCTGCACCCACCGTGGCCAGGCCCACGTACACTGTGGCCAAGAGAGACACCCTTACCCCCAGCACCCAGCAAGGGGCCCCCTACCCCATGCCCGTCCTTGTCCTCTGCCCACTGGCACCCGGCGGGGGCTCACCTCCGATGGCCAGGTAGCGGAAGAAGAGCCAGCCACTGATGAGGGGCTCCTTGGGGTTGCGGGGCAGCTTGTCCATGATGTCCAGGTCAGGGGGGTTGAAGCCAAGAGCGGTGGCTGGCAGCCCATCTGTCACCAGATTCACCCACAGCAGCTGCACAGGGATGAGGGCCTCGGGCAAGCCTAGAATGGCTGTCAGGAAGATGCTGCAGGTTAAAAAGACAGAGATGCGGAATTAGATGAGCTCTGGGGTAGCCAGAGAAATTGTCTGCATCATGCGAGCGGAGAGTGAGCAGGAACCCTGGTTCCAAACACCCCAAACAACATTCACCCAAAGTCCTGCAGATGAACCCACAGCCCCTGAGACAGGAGCCTGAAATAAAGGACTGAATACTGCAGCTAAAATTTGTCCCACTGTTAACATTTGCTTTGTGGTTGAAACCCAACGATTGGCATCCCCACGGCCACGTGGGTTCCCATTCCCAGCACAAACACCCCTGCTGAAATGCAAGGGCAAAGGATGCCCAGTGACCCCAAGGCTGTGCCCACGTTGCTGAGGATGGTGCCGATTTACAGGGAGGGCTGGGCAGGGACCGGGAGAGCGGCCCAGGACCTGATGCAAAGCGCATCAGTGCGACCTGGTGACAACAGCCTGTGTACAAATATCTGCGCCGGCCTTAGACACTGGCGTGGGCTTAAATAGGCAAGGCATTAATATGAGAAAAACAGGTGCTCTGTTTGGTACCTGGGGTTACAACTTTGGGCACCACGTGCTGCCAGGGGCAGGGGACAGAGACAGGACCACGGGTCACCTGCCCCAGTGGACGTGTGACCACCACTGCATCCCCCAGTGTGGTGCCCAGTGTGGGGGGCTCTCACCAAACGACCTCCCCGACGTTGGAGGAGATGAGATAACGGATGAACTGCTTCATGTTGTTGTAAATGGCTCTGCCCTCCTCAACAGCCGACACGATGGTGGAGAAGTTGTCGTCAGAGAGCACCATCTCGGCGGCTGACTTTGCAACGGCCGTGCCTGACCCCATGGCGATGCCAATCTCCGCTTTCTTCAGGGCCGGGGCATCGTTGACACCATCGCCCGTCTGCACAAAGCCAGGATTAATGGGGCACAAGGGATCGGGCTGGGCGAGAGGAGGGGACTGTGGAGGGGCAGGGTGTCCCCGGGGGACTCACCATGGCGGTGATCTCGTGGAAGGACTGAAGGTACTCCACAATGCGGGACTTGTGTGCTGGCTCCACGCGGGCGAAGCATCGGGCAGCGCGGCACGCCTGCCGCTGTGCCTCGGGGGGAAGCTCGTCAAACTCCCGGCCCGTGTAGGCTTTGCTGGTGACATCCTCGCTCTCTGAGAAGATGCCGATCCTGCGGCAGATGGCCACTGCCGTGCCCTTGTTGTCGCCGGTGATCATGATGACACGGATGCCGGCCTTGCGGCACATCTCGATGGAGGAGGTGACCTCCTTGCGGGGAGGGTCCAGCATCCCCACGCAGCCCACGAAGGTCAGGTTGTTCTGGGGGTTGGGGACAGCCCCAGACCCACATTAAACTCTCTGGATGCAGCCACTTCCCTCCACCACTGCAACACCCCCCTGTGCACAGGGATTTCCTCTGGGAGGAAACTTTCAGGAGGTTTCCAACCAACAGCCCCATGGATGCACACTATAGCTCCAATGCAATGGGATGCTCCCATCCCTTCTGCTGCTCCTCATACTTTTTCACTTCGCATGCCTCCTTCCCATTCCTCTCAGGAGTTCCCAGGCCCCTTTCAGTGGTCATCCCATGGGGATGGATGCCCAGTGGGACAGGGCTGTTGGCCTTGAGACTGGCCCCACTGCATGCAGCTCTGCACCAGGGTTTGCAAAGGAGGAGCTGAGCCATTGCACTGCCCGCTGCCCACAGAGAAACCAGAGAGAAAATACTGCTGGGGCAGCTGAAAGTGGGTGGGAAAACTTTGGGAATAAGGAAAAAACCTCCCTGGAGCCGTACCTCGTAGTGGATGAACGCAGCGGAGTCGTGCAGCTGCATGGTCTCCCTGCGGACAGGCGCGTCGTGGGTGGCCAGGGCCAGGCAGCGCAGCGTGTCGATGCCCATACCCCAGTCCCGGATCCGGCCCAGGATCTTCTCCCGCACCGGGGCCGTCAGTGGGACCCTGGCAGTGCCCACGCGGACGTGGGTGCAGCGCTCGATCACGCTTTCCGGGGCGCCCTGGGGAGGAGGGGGGGCTTAGGGGCTGCAATGAAGCTGGAGGATGAGCATCTCTCACCAGCACTGACGGAAGTGCCGGAAAGACGGATGGCACCAAGTTTGGGCAAAGAAGGAAATCTCCCCAAAACTCCAGCACACACATCCCGGCACAGCGGCTCAGCGCACTAGATGGCAGCCTCCGACCGAGCACACACTGGGATCTGGGTTGGGAAGGACAAACCCACGTCAGGTCACCAAGACAGCAGGATCTGCTCTGGGGGGGATCCGTCTGTCTCCTGCAAAACCTACTCGTCTGCTGGAGATACTCCCACGCCCCAGATCCCCTCTCAGACCTGGAGGGGATTAGGGCTGTAAATCTCTGTTGAAAAAATGTGCTGCCTGCGGGATGCTCAGTGGATGCTTGCGATGCCTTTGCAATTCAGGAAAACACGTCCTTTAGCATCACAGCATCTCACCCCACCCCTTCTGACCTTACAAGGACCCCCAGCATGGCTTTTTAATAAAAAACTTGCAATCCTTCTATTGCTCCTCTTAAAAAACCTTGCCCAGGACCGCCAGGGCCACAGATGTGGTGGCTCCAGAGGGTCCCGACCTGACGTGGAGGACAGAGTTCAACCACCGAGAAGATCTCCCAGTAGAAATAACAATATACAAATCTTCAGAGTCAAGAGGGAGAAATTCCGGGCGCATCTCTTCTCTTGGGAAGAAAATGTCCTTTAAAACACTATTTTATTTCTGGTTACAGCTGAAACCTGGACATTGCCCTTTGGGCATTACTGGTGTCTGGAGAGTCCAAGCTGTTAATAAAGGCAAGTGCCCAAGTTTTGCACAGGGGCAGCTCTCCCCTGGCCCCAGCACCAGCACACTCAGCACCTTTTCCTCAGAATCACAGAGGTTGAAAAAGCCCTTGAAGATCATGTAGTCCAACCATTAACCTAACACTGACCATTCTCAACTACACCATATCCCTCAGCGCTGGGTCAACCCAACTCTTAAACACCTCCCTCTAAATCATTTTTCCTCCTTTTTTTCCTATCAATACTGCAAAGACTCACCTCCTCCCTCACCACACCAGTCTACCTGCTGGCTCCTGGACCCCCAGACAGCTAAGAGAGGGGACAAACTGCAAAGCATCACCACCTGCCGCAGTAAGGGCCAAATCCTGCTGGGGTGTGCATGGGGAAGGAGGATCCTGCAGGGTGCTGAGGACCTTCTCCCCTACCTTGACAAACATCTTGCTGCCGGCGGAGTTGTGGCCAGGGCCAGTGGGTGTGCAGTACACCGACATGGACTTGCGGTCGCGGGAGAACTCCAGAGTGCACTCCTTCCTCATCAGCTGCTTGATCACCTGCGGGGACAGCGCGGGGCTGAGCGGGGACATGGCAGGGACACAGCAGCCCGTGCTCTCTGCCTTGGCTAACAACCCTGCCAAGTCGGCACAGCACCAGTGATGGGAGGAGAAGGGCAACCAAGGGACCCAGGAGGGATGGGACAGCGCAAAAAGCAGAAGAAGCTTTCCCTATGCAATTTTTAGGCAGAATTTTAACCCCTGCAACTACACCAGTGTGTGCTAGGCCTTTATTTCATCAACCCCACACAGGATGCCGAACAGATGCTGTAGCTTAAGATAAAGCCCCATTTGACAGAGAGGTGGGTGAGACTTTCTCCCTTACTGGGCTCAGCTGCGCTGCAGGAAAGGGAATTGTATCCCACTTGTTAGAGCTGAGGGGTTTGCCCTGATCCTACACCCACAGGGAGGGGAAGTACTGACATCACCTGAGGCTGGACTGGTTCCCATCAAATTAACCAGCTCTGCAGCTGAGACTCTAATTAGGCTCATTTCAGGACATGCTAATTGTCCTGTGGACTGACACCTAGACACTAATGATCACTAGCTCACAGGGTACCTGCGGGTTTGCAGGGTGAGGACAGGGCAGGGGCTGCCCCCCCACATGGACCCATGGGCACAGGCTGTGCCCGCAGACAGGCTCCAGCACCCCAACACCTCCCAAAACAAACCAGTTTGCTACTAGTTAATTACTTAAGCAGCCAGGTGCCCAGCAAGATGGCAGCCAGTCTTCCTCAGACCAGATTCCCTCTCGCGCATCCACATCAGCATCACAGCAGCTGGGCCTGGCTCCTGGGAGGACACGTCCCAGAAAAGCCATTTAATGAGCAGGGTGCCTGGGGATGATCCAAAGTATTTCTGGAGAGGGCAGCAGGGATGTTGATGCCAACCTTGTCATCTGTATGGCCCAACTGCCTATATGATTATTATTATTTTTTGTTGCCAGGAGGGTGTTGCTTGCTATGGGGACAGAAGCAGCTCTTTACACAGCAACTTAAATCTAAAAAAAGCTGCGAGTGGAGCTGGGGAGGTGGAGAGATGTGCAAAGGGGATTTGTTCATGCAAAATGCAGGCACTGTTTGTGGATATACCAGGCAAACGCCAGCGGCTCTCCAAGGCCAAACCCAGCAGAATGTACAAGTGTAGTGACTACACGCAGGGGGGAAGTTTTGTGCCCACAAAAGCAGTGCTGTCCCGCTGGGCACTGCACGCTCAGCACAACAGCAAGGACACCTGGGAGCAGCCAGCCGCTGTGGAAACTCCAACCCCCCCACCCAGTAGCTCTCAAAGCACAGAGCTACTGGGAAGCAAAACCAAGAAGCAGTGAAGATACACTGCCAGGAAACTCCAAGGAAGGGTTTTTTGTCCCTTCCCAAACATAAGCGTAAGGAGAGAAGCACCAGTGACTGAAGGCAGCCTGGCATCTGAGTGGAAGGGCAGTGATCGGCACGCGTAACAAAGCATCTATCAGACTGATGTATGGCTGGGAAATTCCATCTCCCTTATCAGAAAGGAGTCAGGGGATTTATTATGATCTGCTCAGACCTATCTGGGGAAGAAATGCCAGAACAGAAAGCCCTGCCTTCAAGCAAGCAAAGGCATTATAAGATCTAATGGCATGATACCAAAGCTGAGTAAATCCAGACATGAAATAAATTCATTTTCACCAGGAGGACAGGGAGACACTGGAGAGCTGGAGTAGGGAACAGCCAGCATGGAGTATTTTCACATCAATACCAGATATTTCCAAAGAGCAAGCCTTGTTCAGGCAGGCATGGCTCTGGGGAGCAGGGTTTGGTTCACACTATGGAGGATGGCTGCTCAGTGCAAACTGGGCACCTAAATATTTGCTGCAGAGCTACAAAACTCCAAACCTCCTCACCTGCAGCCAGAGCTCTGGCCATCAGCACCAGGGCCTCTCCCAGCTGAGCAGGGACAGGGCTGACTTTGAGCCTCAGGGGTCACCCGCTCCAGAGCTCCATGTGGACCCAGGTTAGTCTCTGTGGCCCCGGAATTAGCCCTGCCGGCCCCCCCAGGGTCGCTGCACTATCTATCTGCTCCAAATACAGCCCAGCCTCCTGCAAGCCAGGAAATTGTGGCAGATCAGTCCCTTAGATCATCGCAGATGGTTACTGCTCAAATAACAGTCGTCCCAAAGCGCTCCTCTCCCTCCCGTCCCCTGGCACCGGAGCTCACGGAGGCCTCCCCCCAGCTCACCGAATTGCAGGCGTTGGCTCGCTCCACCTTGGAGAGTTTGCTGGTGTCAGTGTTGAAGACGTTCATCTTCTCCACCAGGCACGTCAGGGCTGTTTCAGTGGCTTCCCCCACCTTCTCATAGACTTTTTTGGACTAGAGGGCAGAGAAAAAAAAAGGAGCTGAAGCATTAGAGCACGTCCTCTACCTGCTGCTCTGACCAAGGATGCTGTCGCCCACTGCACCATCCTGCAGCTCCCAGAGCTTGGGATGAGCTGAAGCCAGGGAAAGGCATCCCAAGGGACAAACCCCAAAGTGCAGGGAAGAGCATCGTTGGTCCCCCGCACCGCCCCGTCCCTGCTGCCCCCCGCACCTCGTTGTAGTCCAGCGAGGAGTCGTTGCAGAGGGCGCAGATGGTGGCCAGCTCCACCAGCCCGTCGTACTGCCCGCACTGCACCGGCTGCTCGTCCTTCAGGCTGCGGGGAGAAAACAACCCCCAAAGCCTTACACCAGCTTACACGTTCAAATAATACAGATTCTCCTACATATCCCTTGTAAAATTTTCTGAAAAGAGGGAGAAAGAGCCCAGTTAAAGCCCTGGGCATGGCAGTAAATGCTTGGGTTTGCATTTTGTACTTTACCAAATGGAGCAGGACTAGTTACAAATAAAATACCACAGGAGGCAAACTCTGGAAGTGGCCTGGAATAAAGGGGACTGCAGAGGAGCTCCAAAGAGCACCAGACCTGAAATCAGGGGCTGCCAAAATCAGATCATAGATGAGAATGTGAATTCAAGTTAATGTTCGCTCCCCCAGGGGTTTCCAGTTGCTGCGGATCTTGAGGAGCTGTAGGACCAGCAGCAAGTCCCTTCTCCTCACTGTGATGCTGCTTTGTGCTCCCGTGAGCCCAAGGGCCCCCAAGGGAGAATTTAAAAGCAGCAGACAAATTTAACAACTGCATTTCTGTGGCTGTTTCCAAGCAAGTGGTGAACTGTGGCCTTTGCTTCCTAAATAGCAGCTCTTTTGCTATGTAAAGAAGCACAAACTGGAAATGAGCAGCCCTGAACGCACCAGTCAAGCCAGACTCTGCTTCTCACCCGTTGCCTGGTGGCAGAAATGGCAGCGGTGGTTTTCAGGGGAAATAAAAATTTATCCCCACTTCAGGAGAGGTAACTGCAGGTTAGAGCTGTATAAACCCAGCCGGTCATCTGCTTGCTGGAAAAATAATTTGTCAGGCATTTATTAGGATCAGTTTATTCCACTGCTGGTTCCCAATGGAAAGAACATTTTGGAGCCCTTGTTACAGCTTAGGAGCGGAAAACAGGGAGCAGCCAAGAAAATCTGAAAAATCTGTTTGCTGAGGGACAAGAAGCTGCACTGGGCTGAGAGCGGGCAGGGGAGAGCTGCTGCCTCCTGCCCAGAGGATGCTGCCTGGCCCCAGGCTCAGGGGCAGGGGAAGGCAGCGGGTGGAAGAGCGAGCCCACAGGCATTTTGGGATGGGTTTTGATGTTTGGGAAGGTGGAAATACTGGGGAGGGCTTTTGCAGCATGTGATCCCCTGGATACTGTTGGGAAGGGACGGGGGATACATCGTCATCATCGGCTGTCCCTGCACGGAGCTGGGCGAGACCCATGTGCTGGGAAGAGCATCAGCAAAGGTGCTGCTGCTAGCTGGCGTTGCACAGGGATGCCCGCAAAGCCAAGGTCAAGCACGCAATATCCCCCACACTGAGGCCAGGCTAAAGCAAAACAAGAGTTTTGGTCCCACCAGCCCTGGAGGAGTGGGAGGTTTCTCTCCCTGACACCTAAGTGAGCCCTTGAACCCACCTTGATGTGCAACAAGCACAGGGCAGAAGCAGAACTCCAAAGCAACATGCGGGGTTGCAGACCAGTGCAGAGCCTCTCTGCAGGCAGTCCCCAGAGGAGAGGGGACATTGAGCTTCAGAGGTTAGCAGACATGAGTTCAGTCCCTCAGTCTTCTCCATTTAATTGAAATGCACTGATTGATAGCACCTTATGACCTGGCTTGCCTTTTAATGGAGATTCCTAGCCAAGGATCAAATTGGCTCTATAAATATTAATGAAATTAAGTCTGAGTCTGGGATGAATTATAGTTGCTCCACAGATGAACAGAAGAGACTGTGGTGAAGAACGTGCCTGGGATCACACAGCAAAGCAAAGGGGAGTGGAGAGTGCTCCAACCACTGGCTGAGCTTCTCATCTTCCTCCTTCCCAGACCTTCCCCACACTGGGGAGCATCATCTCCTTTCAAATGAGGGGGAATAAACAAACGCAATTGCAGAAAACCCCCTGTGTGTAATAACACACCAGAGAAAAGCCCCTGGCTCCCATGCCCTGCCCTCTGCTGCAGCTCAGCAAAGCCCACATTTCCCCTGAAACATGTCCTGACATCAGCAGGATTGTGCCCCGGGCACAGCAGCCATCCCGGCTGTCCCTGCCGAGGATGCGGGGCTCAGGGAGCACTTTCCTGCCGGGGTTTGCAGTTGTTTGCAAGTCCCTTGGCACGCTGCCGGCGGCACGGCTCGCAGACAAGCTGCCGGCCCTGGGTCCTGCTTGGGGTGGGGGCAACAGTTGCTGGCCAATACTGAAAATGCACAGGCTTCATTTGGAGAATGGACACGTACTGAGAAAAGCCTTGTTCATCACTATTCCCACACTTGCCATCTCCTCTGGATCACAAGCAGGCTTGTTTTCCTGGGACTGCTAACGAAGGCACAGCCGAGCGCGGGGGAGCCCCTTTGCTGGGCGGCGAGATGGCAGTAGGCAGAGCTGGGGTGTGCACCCCCCACATCGTATCGAGCAGGGGCTGTTGGCAAGGGACAGTGAAACAACTGCCCTGGCTCCCACCGAAAGCAAAGGGCAGTCACCCAACTCTTGCAAGACCAGCATGGCCAAAACCCAGTGCCCAGCAGGTATCTCCATAGGCGGGGTTCAAACGCCACAGAAAACCCGTTTCTCCCCAGCTCACGGGGCGAGCCTGGGGTCCCCCAGCCATGGCCACGAGCTCGACCCTCCCACATCCCCCCAACCATGCTGCCAGCCCAGGGCCACCCTGAAACGGAGGGGACCCGCACTCACATCTGTCCCTCGGGGGCATAGGTGGAGCCGGTGATGCTGAACTCATGCAGGCTGCACTGGGTGCCCTCCGCCTTCTCCATAATGAACATCTGCAAGGGGCAAAGATGGAGACAGAGCATTAGGCAGTGATTTTTTGGCACAACCTGTGTACTTGGAGATCTGCCAGCCGGTACTGTCCCAGCGATGGCCCTGCTGGCACTGGGTTCAGCCCCCACCCTGGTCGCCCACCGCTTCTGGCCGTCCACGGATCCTTCCAGCTCTCCCCTGCCTTTTTCATGTTCACCTCCTCCAGCTCTTTTTTTCCATTGGAGAGGAGCAATGCTGAGCCAGTTCCTAAGAAGGTGCTTGTGTTTTTCTTGGAGAGAGAAGGAGTCGGATCCAGGTTTCCACTCCTGCCCCAGCCACCCTGGAAAGATTCTGCGGGGCAGGATCCGACCAGCTGCCCCTGCCACCCTTTCCCAGCCAGCTCCCAGCCACCAGCTTGGCCTGTGTGTTACTGGGATCACAGCTCGGCTCCGGGCACTGGCAGTGTGGCAGCTCAGTAATAAAGCCCTGGGGAGCTGTAAAAGTCCCACACACTCTATTTTTAGTGACTTTTTGTCTTTCGAACTCCTTCCAGTTTCTCTCTTACTGCTACAGTGAGAGCAACAAACCCCAAAAAACCTAAAAGAGAATAAAAATCCTCCTCTCCCCAAGCTCTCTCAGTCCCCCCCTTGCCCCCTCCCAGCACAGCCCACCCTTTGGGGCAGCCTCCAGCAGGAGCAAGAGCAGTGCCCGACCCCAGCCAAGGCGACAGCTCAGCGATGCTCCTTTCTACTTAATTGTAATTTTTGACCCATGCTGAAGCCAAAAAGTAACACAATAAATAAATTAATAAAACTGTTTTGACAAATGTGTTTCCCCAGCCACGATTGCCTGTGGGGAGCAGCCAGGAGGGAGGATGGCTGCAGGGAAGCGATGGTCTCCTCAGCTCCATGAATCTCCTTGGAAGCTCCAGAAAGTGGGTGTGGGGGCAACTGTCCCCCTCCACCCTGTCTCAAACCATTATTTTTTCCTTATTTCTTTTCCTCTGGTTATTTGAGATGTTCCCCAGGAGAGGGAAGCAACAGATGCTGGAGAAATTGGGAGGCCTCACTCAGCACCAGAGATGCAGCGGATCCAGGTACCACCCACTTCTCTCTCCTCTGTACTTCCTCTGGCAAATAACAGAGGTTAATTTACTGTTATTATTAATTATTGTTAATAATACAAGACACCCCACCAGGCCAGCTGTGCTGGCTGGTGCGTGTGAGACCTCCCCACGCAGCCTGGTATCCCCAAGTGCAAGCTTAGGGCCAAGCCAAGCAAAAGAGGTCAAGCTCGGGGAAGCATGTTTACAGCAGGTTTAGCACCAGGTTGCCTTGGTGAGTTTTCTCACCTCCGTATTTTACAAGTTTGGGCAAATCAAAGCAGAAGGTTCAAAGTGTATGTCTCCTGTGTGAATGCTTCTGAGCTCAGAGCAACCTCCCCATGGCTCTACTGCTTCATAGCTATTTGTAGATATGCTGTTTGCTGGGCTATTGCCCTCAGCTTCTTTCCCAGAGCCCATCCTGGAGCCCCTCAGCATCCCTGAAAGGTTTTGAAGAAAATCATGAGCCAAAGGGTTACAGAAGAGGTGACCCAGGTCCTCTGTTGAGGCACTGAGCTCCTCTGGCAGGAGAAGCAAACACATGAAGGACCAAGAAAGAGAGCTGAAACACATCCTATCTCCTTCGGCAACTGAATCTCCCTGGGATGACAGACTCCAGAAAATGAGGCAAAGTGTGGTGCCCAGTTTGAGCCAACACCAAAAGGGACCTTCAAAGACTGAGCATCCTTCATCTTTTTTTAAAATGTCTAATGACATCAGCCTTCCAGAGAGCCAAAATCTCCTGGTTTCATCAGAAAATGGACTCCCGCACTCAGAAACGCCAACTGGACTCATTTATTAAAAAATCTGAAAGCACCCACCCTAGCCACGGATGGTTTTGCCTGATATGGGCCTGTTTGCTTTCAAATGCTCATGGCTACAAAACAATTACTACTTTCACAATAGCACTTTCTTATTAAAAAGGAAAAGAAAAAAAAAAATCCTAGGCCCTTTATTTTTCCATGCCTATTTAAAAAAGGTGCTGCATAACCCACAATAACCAGAGGTTATATCAAATTTCCTGCCTGCTCCCAGCTTCCGTGACTGGCAGAGTGAGGGGGTGGCCAGGGCATTGCAAAGGTGTTTTGGCATGATCTTTCAGTATATTTCCAGGCTGAAAAGGGGGCAGAATCACCGGCAGTGGAAACAGTCCAGAGGAAATAGCTCTGTCTTAATCTGTAAAGACGATAGGTAAGGTTTCCATCACAAAAATCATATAAATAATAACAGGAGCAATAGAAGGAGGTGGCAAAGCTGTGTGCCACAGCTCGGCTGAGCGGTCTGGGGAGGCTGCCGCAGGGAGATGCTCACAGAGGGGCTGCCTGACCTCCTGCACTGCCATGGCGAACCCCAGCTCCAGCATTCAGCAAGGGGATCCCTGCCAGCATCACCCCAGGGCTTCCCTCTGCTCACACCCCTGCTATTAACCCTTTTAAAACCATGCTGGCAGTCTGGGGTTTTAATGCAACAGAGAGTGGAAGGAAAATGTTACTACGTGCTTATGAAGAGCACACCCGGCTCCAAAAGTGTTTCAGCCATCGCTCCTTCTGCCCTGCAGATCTCACCTAGCCCCAGCTCCGCACCTCACAGCCTGACACTGCTGGCAGGTACTTTTAGAAAGCAAAGGGCAATGGCTGCACCATCCCCGGAGCTGCACATGGCACCCAGCTGCAGGCTTGCGGGGAAGAGAGATGTGAAGGATACATCTTCACATTTCCATATTTTTGGTAGTATCTTTAAAAGAACGACTCATCAGAAGGCAGATGAGCTAGGATTGCTGTCTGGAATAGTAAGAGGCTGTAATCATCAGTCATTTACCCATCAATCATCCCACAGATCAGCATCATTTTCCTCCTGCTCTGGAAGCAGCCCCGGCCAACAGGCGCCCACCAGCAACTGCCACAGCCGGCAGCTCAGCCACAGCCCCTGGGAGGCCCCCAGCAAGGTCCCCCACTAATTACTGACTGGTTTAGACAGATAAAACTGCTGAATCAAGACACAGTGTCCTGGAGATTAAAAAGCAAATAGTGCCTGCAGCAGCTCCTGGGCAGCTGCAATGGGGACAGGAGTTCGCATTTTCAGGCTCTGCGACAAGGTTCATTGAAATTAAACCCTTTTCTGCTTTTGTTCCTCAAAACACCAGCCATCTCGAAGACAGCCAAACTCACCAGCCACTTCTCTCTCCCAGACATGAGGTAGGTGCCAGCATCGCCCCTCTCCAGCCCCGTCCTGCTCTGCCCCACACGGCAGCAGCCCCGAGCCTGCACAGCCACACTCACATCTCCGCTTCAGGTCCTGACTTTCAAACGCCGCCTTTGTGCTCCTGGAAACTCAAGTTATGATGCATAAAAGGGGGCTGCAATTTTCAGGAGAGTGATTTAAACGTGCAAGAGTTGCAATGCCTCTCTGCTCCCTCCTCTGCCTGCCCAGCTTCACCGTTATTTAATGGCTGGGAGAAGGCTGGTCCTGGTTGCTCTGCACCGTGGGCTGGGGGAGATGGTGGTGCAGATGACCATCAGGTGAGCGACACAAACCCCAGGTTTAATCTGATTTACTAAGTGGGTTTGTGACTTTCTGCATTACTGCAGAGCTGTGACCTCGGGTAGAGTCGAGGTCAAAGCAAAAGCACTAAAGTCTTGGCCACCCCAGATGGACAAGGCCCCCAGCACAAAACACTTCAGTGGGCACTTAACACCCACGGGCATTTGGGGGACACAGCTTCACCCCTGCTGACCACCTGGGGTCCATATGTGGCTGCTAAACCAGCTCAGCCAGCACCCCGGCCATGAGACCCAGGCACCAAGCGGGAGCCGGTGGTGCAGCCCTTAAAAAACAGCTGAGGGTTTTAAAACAGACCAAAAGCCTTTCAAGAGTCACTTTACAGCTCTACAGATCTGATGCTGGCAGCGAGACGTAAAGGGCAAGCACTGCTCGGCAGCATACCCTGTAGCTGAGCAGCTGCACTCACCCAAATTTAATGTGTGATTTAATTAAAATCACCCTCAATTAACACATTTTTCCAGGTTATCGATAGGCTTTCCTGGCTTTTTCATCGCGGTGGCTGAACCGGCTGCTTGGTGCAGCACATCCAGGACACGCCAACATCCGCCCAGCACAAATATTTACCCACCCGCCGCTCGGCCGAGCCGCCGGCAGCCCCAGTGCTGCCTGCGTCAGCGCGGGAATCCCTGTCCGTTAAACAGTAACAGTCCGCGTGTCCTGGGGCCAGCCCGGCTCTCGGTATCGCTCCCTGGGAGTCAGGATTCAGCCAAGTGAATAACATGTATATCGGAACAGGGTTGTGAGGAGATGGGGTGGTGAATACATTGAATTTTGAATTGAGGTGTTTGGGGTTTTTTTTGCAAAGTTGCCAACTTCATTAATCGATGCTAAAACTCTCTGTCCCTCTCCTGCCCTCTCCCTGTCTCAGCATCACAAATCCTGCCTCTGCCACCTGGGAGATGGCGGCACTTCTTCCCAAGTTCAAGGAGCAGATCCTCTGGTAGGAAGCAGTTTGGGGAAGGCATGGTCACTCCTACCTCTCCTTCTGCAGTCTGCAGAGCTACAGAGACCCCAAACACTGGGGTCACCCTTTACGTGCTTCTCTGCATCACTGGGTCAAAAAATGGGCTGGTGGGAACCTTCTCCTCGAGTGAGACACGGGCGGCTTGGTCACTGCCTCGTCCCAGCAGTGTCTCATTTTAAATCATTTACAGGGCAGAAATACCAGACGTTTCCAGTCATCTGTAGTTTGTGCTGAGCAAACCAGTAGCCAAAGCCCATGGCCAGCTTGCAGCATGGTCACAGCTTCCCACCACACCACACAAGTGTCAGGGAGGAGGAACGGTGGCCAGGTCCATTTTTCCCCACAGCAACACATTTTCCAAGGTTTTCCTATAAAACCAACATGCCAAGACCATGAAAAAAAGCTTTCCTGAGACTTGAGGATTAATGGGGAAACTGAGAAGTACTCAGATGGTCCAGGCTTTCCTAACAAGTCACCTCTCCATACAGACAGGCATGCGGGAGCGAAACCCTCTGGTAGACAAGGAGCTTTCAAATCTCTTTGCCAAACCATCCCAGGACTCCCTCCATCAGAAATGCTTTCAGTCTGAGCCAGAGCTGCACACAAGTGCTGATGGCAGACCTGCCAGGCAGGCACGAGTCACTGAAGTACTTTCTCACCAGGTCACAGGCATCTTCTCTTAACCCCTCGTATTTCTGTGTGAGCTTCTCACAGACCCACATGTTGCAGTCACCCTCCAAGCTTTGGCCTCACAGGTCCAGGCTTTGTAAATTTGCATGGTCCAGGATTTCTCACTGGTTTGGTTAAAAACAAGGGAAAAATGGGCAAGAGAGCAGAGGAGGGGGACTGCATTGGCATCTCTGTGAGCTCTGCCTCAATGCCACATCCCAGCAGGAAGAAATGCTCTCTGGAGAGGGAGCCCTGAAACAAGTCTGCAACACGGCACCTCCAAAACAGTGTGTTCATGAAACTGCGTTTTCTAATTACAACCAGGACTAGAGAAGCCATAAACATCCTCACCCCCAGCTGGGCAGAGAGCAAGCTCAGGTCTTCCTACAAACCACCTTTCATGCTCACCTTCAAATTCCTAATATCAAACAAGTCTGATGAGGACAGCAAGCCCATCACCCCAGGATGGGGATGGAGCGATGCAGAGTGCTCGAGGGCTTACAGAGCACCCTGCACCCCAAAATGCCCGCAGGACTCACCCGGCAGACGGACATCTGGTTGGTGGTGAGGGTGCCAGTCTTGTCGGAGCAGATGACGGAGGTGCAGCCCAGGGTCTCCACCGAGGGCAGGCTCCGCACGATGGCGTTCTTCTTGGCCATGCGACGTGTGCCCAGCGCCAGGCAGGTGGTGATGACGGCCGGGAGGCCCTCAGGAATGGCGGCCACCGCCAGTGCCACCGAAATCTTGAAATAGTAGATGGCCCCCCGAAACCAGGAGCCCCCATGGACGGGGTCACTGAAGTGGCTGACATTGATGACCCAGACGGCGATGCACACCAGGAAAATCACTTTGGAGAGCTGCTGGCTGAACTCATCCAGCTTCTGCTGCAAGGGGGTCTTCTCGGGCTCTGTCTCCACCATCTGGTTTCGGATCTTCCCAATCTCGGTGTACACCCCTGTCGCAATGACAACCCCTACAGCCTTCCCAGCTGCGATGTTGGTGCCCTGGGAGGGAAGAAAGAGGCCAGAGTGGAGATGTGGGCATGAAACTGCTCAGCCTGACCGGGGAAATGTGTCACTTGTGAAAGGAGACATGAGATCTCGGTTAAGGAGAAAAAGAGACATCCTAGGATTTTATATAAACCCACCCTAGAGCAGCAGGAGGCCCTCCCGAGAGCTCTCTTACCCCTCAAGGACTTGACTTTTGCCCAAGAGGAGCATGAGCAAGGAGGAAACCCAAATTTGCAATAGCTCCAGGCTCAACCACAAACCTTTCACCCATCCATAAAGCACCCTACTTGATGGAAAAAATGCTGAGATTGCCCAAGGTATTTAAGGGCAATATGTGCCACAGCCCAAATGAAATCCCATGGAAGCATTTTTATGGATTTGGGGCTTTCTTTATGGATTCAGGTTTTTCTCAGGCATACATGCCCTTTCACTGCTCAGAGATCTCCCATGTCCATCAGCCTCTTCGCTCGGTGACTCTTTGGAAAACCACAGGAGAGGCGGGGACAGCTGTAAGGGACTTACAGAGAAAAGCATGTTCTTCTTGTCCTGGTTGACAGCCCGGGGGTCAGGGATGGGGTCAGCATGTTTGATCACCGACACAGACTCCCCTGCCAAGACAAGAGGGGAAAGATGAACCACCTGCATTTCCTCTCCAGCATCTGCTCAATGTTGTTATGAGCCTGCATCCCAATCCCCACAGCTTTCTAAAGCAGCACTTTGCCACCAAACCATCAAAACATCCATCATGGGGGCGTCAGAGCTGGGCCAAGGCGCTCTGAAGATGAGGGCTGCAGAAGAACAACCTGTGCAGATCCCAAGGCCCCATTCAGCCCAAGTGGACGGGGCCAAACCCCTGCGCCAGGGAGCCACTGGCTTGCAGCACAGGTTTGCATGGTCAGATGGGGTTTGTAGGGCAGCACAACACAAAAGGTGCCCAAAGCACTTCTGTTGAAGTTTTATATGTTGTTCTTTGGAGATTTGCCCTTTTGCTGCATCTCCTCTTGCCCTTGGAGAACTAAGTTAATACAAAGCCATGTTTCAAGGAGATTGGGCTCCTTTTCCTGTGTTTTTAACATTTTTTTTGATTGCTCTTCCTTCCCGGCTGCCATCCCCTAACTTGACGACTTTAAAAAAATCACACAAGAGAGCCGAATTTCTGGAAGCCCTTCTGGTCATCTGATCATTCACTGCCCTTCCCTGACAGCAGAGAGAGAGAATTTTTGAAGTATCATAGATTATCAGCTTTCAGGGCTTTTCCAGTGCTTAACAAAATAGCCCAAAATATCGTCACCTCTCCCTGAAGTCACGAAGCCTCATGCACCAGCAGTCATCGTGTGACAGCTGCACAGGGGAAGCGTGGGCAGGGACAGCCCCTCTTGAAACCCCCCGTGTCTCACAGCACAGCCTCGTGTTTTGCAGAAGGGATGGCCAAGCACCAAGCACATCTCGCCTCTGCCATGACTTTTAGATGATGCTGAGACCTTCCCAAGTCCTCAATCTCATTCTCCCACGCGTTTCCCACCCCAGGAAAGCACTCAGCTCAGTGTCAGTCCCCAGATTTGGCTCAGGGCAGATGGCGGAGGGAAATCTCTGCCGTCAGCAGCCACCTGCACGTACCTGTGAGGATGGACTGGTCGACCCGCAGGGTGGTGGACCGGATTTCGATGATCCGGATGTCCGCTGGCACCTTGTCGCCAACTACAAGGGCAAAAAGAGCAGAGCAGCTCCATCAGGTGGGACCAGCAGTGCCCGTTGCCCCGGGGAAGGGGTACAGTAAACCCTAAATGCTCCAGCATAGCCCAGCTCTGCCCCAAGGTTTGGGGCCAACGGTTTGCACCTCAGTTCCTGCTGGCTTCCCTCATTTCCTATTTCAACTGACCAGTCTCCAGGGCAGCGAGTGGCTTTTGCTGTGAATCACTGTGTCCCTAGGTGGCCTGGGCACACGGCAGCACCCAGCCTGCAGCAATGAGGGGTAAAGCCTGTGGTAAACCACGGTCATGCCCCGAGATGCCTCCTTTATGCATTTAAAGCTTATTTCATTAAATTTAAACATTAAAAAAAGGAAGCTGGAAGGAGGTACTATCAGTTGCAGTTGGGCAGTGCAGGGATGGCACCTTGAGGAATTTCTAATTTTAGGGGATTACCTTGCACAAAAGCAGCCAGCCCAGGGAGCAGGCAGCAGCAGTGCTGCAGCCAAGGGGGTTATTTGTGCCATTCCAGGAACCCTCCCCCATGGACTGACCACACGTTTCTAGCACCACCTTCCTCTGCAAAATTCAGCCCTGTCCCTCTGCACAGGGATGCTGCCAGGGCGGCGACCTGCCTGCCAGCCCTGCCCATCCCCTTCCCCAGCTGCCACCCAGGAAAAGCTAACTGTGCTTCGAGACAGGTTTGCCAGGACAACCAGCAAAGGCAGGAGCTCTGCATGAGGAGGCCAGGTGAGCACAGGACCCCAGTGGGGTCCCACCCGCCCTGGCTGCACCTCTGCAGTGACATGCGCTTCTCCACCATGGCTGGGACCCCCTTCACCACCACTGGCAGCGAGCACCCACTTCCCTCCTGCCAGTGAGCGGGCAGAAGGGCAGGCACCTTTTCTCTTCTTTTTGGAGCAGAGCCACTGCAGAAGTGCAGGCATGTGGTCCTCAGGGCAGGAAGCATCAAACCCTCTGCCCTCCGGCCGAACCCCGGCACAGCCCTGCCTGTCACCCCGCATCGCCTGTTCAGCCACATCCCCATCTCTTCCCTGCAAAACCCCCACAGCACCCCTATCTTGTTTCTTCCCTGCAAAAACCCTCAAACACTCCAATTTTGGAGCAGTCCGAGCCTCTCAACACCACTCTTAACCCCATTTCAGGGCTCTGCGTGCTGACTGAAGCTGATGACATTGGAAGACCTTTTGTGGCCAAGACAAACAGCCATCCATGGGTCTCCTGGCATGGCACAGTGCTTGTGAGTGAAAGCAGCCCCATCCACTGACAGCCACTGATCACCACCCACCAAGGCTCATACGCTTCCTTAGAAAACCCATTTAAAGCTGCTTTTCCCGCTGGGTTTCCTCCTCCCAGCTCTTCCTCCTGCTCCCTTATCAGCTGGATGCAACTGCGCTCCGGCACTTCGGAAATATTGAGGCCGAGAGCGTCCTGGCTCACAGTGCCTTACATCACGTTACACAACATTGCCGGCTTGGCCGCTAACGAGCGTCTCAAATCCCAGACTTTAACGAGCGCTTCCTCCCAGGACTCGTAAACCCCCCCGAGTGCAGCGGGAGGGGGGGCTGGAACCGCTCCACCACCCAGCCATTTATTCCAGCTACAGATCCGAGCGCTGTGGGATGTGGCATGCAACATCTGCTGTCCCGACAGACATGCGTCCTCCCTGTTACACTCCTTTTTGGGGGGTCTGAGATGGGGGGTGCTGAGCACAGGGACCCATCGAACCCCCCAGAATGCTCACTTCGTGCGTAGACTTGGACGTTGCATCTGCTCAAGGGGGCTGGAGCACCATAAAGGGAGCAAAGAGCTCCTCTTCCTCCCTGGGAAAGGCGGGGGAGGGTTTGTAAACATTATCTAAACCTGAAGATGAAAAATCTGTTGCCATCACCTAGAGACAGTGTTGAGCCCTGGTGCCATGGAGGTAGCACCCACTCAAGGGCAGAGAGTGCGACGGCATCCCGGGAGACCTGCATGGCGCAGGACAGATGGACAGACATCTGTAGGTGCCGTGAGCCAGATACTGAACATGTGCTGAGAGCCCAAGCACTGCAAGTCTACCCCGTGCCAAAAGCCACGGGAAAGAAACGGGAGACAACATGGGGTGGCTGTGGCCACCAGCACTGCCCGAGTGAAGCAGGAAGGGGCAGGTGGTGCAGAACCTGACAGAGCTCCCTGGCAATGCCCTGCCCGTGCTTTTTGGGCAAGGCAGAGACCTGGCACTGCAGCTGAGTTTAAGTGCTGTGCAGCTGCCTGCGCGAGAACTCACCTCGATGGCCTTGTTACAAAAGGGCAAAAATCAGCCGGGTTTAAACAGCTTGCCAACTTGCAACATGCAACCATCATTCCCCTCTTGTCTTACTGCAGCAGGTTTTCTGCTCCCAGATGCCAAATTTATTGCATTTGCACCTGCAAACAGAAGGCAGTCCCTGCTGCCTGCGCTGTCCCTGCCGTCCCCAGGGATGCCCACTGCACATTCACAGCGATTGCTCCTGGCGCACTTTCCTGTCAGACAGCCTGACAGCATCCTTGCCACTTACTCTAACCTCCTAAACTCAACATTTGCTAATTAACTTGCAAACCCCTCCAGAGGAGAGCTCAGCTCTCTCTCCCTGTCATGATGCTCATTGTGCCACTAAAAAGTAATATTCAGTAGGCAGCGAGCACTTGATTTGGAGAAAGATGGCAGAATTTAATTAATTAATTTAATTAAAGGCCAGGTCAGCAGCTGGAGTGCATTGCTGGAGCTGGCTTGGAAGCACCGCCAGCTCGCCCAGCTGAGGATCTGGCCAGCACTCCTCTGCTTGATCCTCCCCACATTATTTTTATGTTCATCTTCCAGCTGAAGCCCAACTGGAAGACATAAATAACAGTGAGCTGGCTGGGCGCGGGAGGGATTGCAGCATGTTTCCACTAGCAGGGCCACAAGGAGGAAAGGAGAGGATTAGGTTTGTGGCTCTGGGGGTTTACAGCATCGTTTAACGAACAAACAAAATGGGATAATTGAAATTCATCCTCTTCAGCTCTGGTGGGGCAGGCAGGACAACCCCAGGCAGCCTTTGCTGAATGTGAAACCCCGACAGAAGGGCTGGAGGGGGACAACCCGACCGGGGAGGCAAAAGTACCCTGCAGTCGGTCCCCTTTCTGTTGCCCTCCCCAAATAACAAACCCCAGTTACCAAGGACATCTGCCCACGCAGGCAGGACCAGCGCCGCTGCCTGCAGCGCTGAACCCCTCCACGCTGGCGGCAGCGCTCGCCTGGCACCACTGGTGTGGTACCCAGAGCCCGGCGCCTTGTCTGGGGGATGCATGTGGGAGAGCCGCTTCCAGGGACAAGGAATCTTGGTGGAAAGTTAAAAGTTCTTCCAGTTCTTCCAGAAAACGGGGAAACCCTCCCAAAGCACAAAACCTGTGCCAGAAATACACACTTTATTTTTCTCTTTTCTGCTGTTCTCTACCACCCTACAGTCGGGGCGAAGTCTCGGCAAGCTGATGAGCCCCAGCTTTGCCCCAAATCATTTCACCTCTCTGGATTTGAAAAGAGAAACCAAGATCTCAAGCGTACAACACCGAGGTGACTCAGCAGCTGTGCCTCCAGAGGAGACGGGCCGGACACTGCAGCAGAGCCCTCCCACGAGGACCACGGGGTGCATGACAGCAAAGCTCCCCTGGCCAGCACCACCTCCCCACCCCACCCCGTGCCCCGGGGTGATGGCACCCTACCTGCCACCTCCACGATGTCCCCGGGGACGATGTCCCGGGCACGGATCCGCTGCACCCCACTGCGGTCGGCGCGAATCACCTTCCCCATCTCGGGCTCGTACTCCTTCAGGGCTTCGATGGCGCTCTCGGCGTTTCTCTCCTGCAAGCAGAGGAGAAGCAGAGCTGCTGGCAGTGGGGGTACTCATGCCAGCAGGCTCCTTCCCCACCCACTGCAAAGACAGGAGCCCCAAAGCCCAGCCCTGGCTTTGGTGTCCATTTGCACCATGGATGGGGCAAGTGCCGAGTCTTCTTCAGCTGCTCTGAAACGGTCCCACTGGCTTAAATCACAGCAGGTCCTGGACGCTGCATGGACCTTTGGGATTGATTTTCTCATTCTTGGTTTAGGAAGCAGCATATCCCACCCAGATGTATTTTTTCCCCACCCAGCAACCTCAACTCAGATCAAGCTGCAGATAAATAAATGGCCTTAAAGTGAATATATACAAGAAGAGGAGCTTTGCTGGCTGGGGCATTTGCTCGTCCCCCAGGAGGGATACAGCAAGGCAAGGGGCAGCAGCCACCATGACTTTCTGGTGGATAGGGAAAAAAGCTTCCCTTGGAAAATGCATTTGGTTGTGGCCAGGAGGTAAGCAGTGTTTGCCTGGATGGCAAGTAAGTTCAAGATCCTAAACTCCTAACTGCAACAGTCGCCAAAGTAAAACTGAAGGAACAAAGCAAGAGGCAGCCAACAACTGAGCATCTGCACTGGGGCACAGGGCAGCTCAGCCAACGCGAAAATTGAACTTCTGAGAAATGAGTTTCCAACTGCAAAAAACAATGAGACCTTCAGCTGAAGTGTCTCAGCCACGTGGGGCAGGCAGTGGCGGGGGCTGTGACTTACCTGCCACACACCCACCACGGCATTGGCGATCAGGATCATAATAATGACGATGGGCTCCACAAATGCTGTCGTGGTCTCCTCTCCTTCTTCAAACCAGGCCAGGATCTGGTAGGCAAGAGAAAAGAAGGACCACAACGTGGTTGAAACAACAGGTGCCAACATTTTAAGGATGGAAATGAGAGCCAACCAACATGGTGTTTGGTGGAGACAAGACAACCCAGAGTGGTGGCCAGCCCCACAAGGCTTGGTTAAAGCATGGACTTGCCGTACCTTAACTCAGGTGCCTCCACTCTTCTGCTGGGGATAACCTAATGCATCAAACGAGCAGGGCTGGAGCCAATGGCCATGCAAAACTTGGACAAGTATTTGCACCAGGAAAACACCTGGTTTTGTTTAGTGCACTCGTGTGGAGACCAGGGATGAGCAGATGAGCAGGGAGACCAGGCAGCACTGCTGGCTTCTCAAAGAGACGCTGCCAGCAGCAGCTGGGCAGCCACCACAGACACTGCCTGCAGCATGCTCTGCCTCTGAGAAGCCCCTCCTGGGCAGAAGTTAAGCAATGCGATACAAGTAATGGATGCAGCAAGAGCAGCTCTGCAGAGCGGGGACTGACCTTGTGGCTTCTGACCACCCTGAGTCCCCTCTCCATCCCACAAAGGCCTCAAGGGAAGCACACACACACACAAATATTTTTGCCCCATGTAACTGCGTGTCAACCTGTGCTGTGTCAACATAGCAAAACCTTGCTGCTCTGTGGCAGAGGCACCAGCACAGGGGTTCACGTCTGCTTTACTGATTAGCAGAGCCACCACAGCAGACTCAGCCATCAACCAGATTGCAACAGCTCTACAAATTCACCAACAAAGGGGTCACTGCGAGTTATTCTGGGAACGTATTGAACCTTGCAAGGGACCAGCCTCCTCCCTTATCTGCCTACGAGTCATATACGAAAGGAGGAGACAGGAGACTTGGCTTCGCTGTCCCCCCGCCAAACACCTTGAGTATAGTCCAAAATAAGTAATTCTCCAGTGGCTTGGTGGGAAATGTCTCCTCATACAGAGTTGCTCCCAAGGTAGATTGTGGGAAAAACTGAGCTCAGTACTTGGGCACCGCAAATAAGGCTCAAATCAGCAACTGGGGAGTAAGGTGCCGATGAAGATAAGCACTTCTAAGGCACCAAAGGGGTTCATATTGCAATTCCTCAGTGCCACCCATAAAAGCACCTTTCTAATCCTGTGGATGCTGAGTTTAGCTGATCCCGCATCACCTCTTGGCGTTATTAGGCACAGAGGAGCTCAGCAGCACTCGTGGGTGCCAGCTCACTGAGCCTGGTGATGCACCCGCTGCTGGCTGACTGCCCGCATGCCCCGGGGAGGAGAAGCTGCTTCGTGCTCGCAGGAGGTGCAGGGGGTAAATCAGGGCTCCTCCTGGGAAAGACACGTATGCGTCTGGATGCAGCATCTTCCCTGACGAAGGCGGGAGAAGAGCCCCACTGGAGATACACCACTGAGGAAGGAAACGTTTGAGGGTGAGCAATAACACCATCTGGGGAAGCAGAACCTGGACGGTACCACCCTGAAGGCACACACCGACAGCTCTGGTGGCAGGAGAAACCTGCGCCGGGCTTCATGCCCTGCTAAACACAAGGAGAACCCAATTCTAAGCAGAACTCTGACATTACCCGAACAAAACATCATGTTTTCCTGCTGCATGACGCACTGGGAGGTGTATTTTGTCAGCGAGCATTAGCCCTGCCCCACACATCGGCAAAAGTTTAAAGGAAAGCTCTACGCCCTGCACTGGGCCCAGCCATACCTGACACCTGCCCTGAGCACCACCGGCTTGAGCAGCCCCAGCCCCGGGTCTCTGAGCCCTCCCAGCCATGTGGCAGGACGGGAAGGCAGCAAACACCAGGCAGGAGGCACCTCCCACGCCGGCAGCCGAAACACTGCCAGTCCTGCTCAGCCAGAGGGAGGGAAAAAACGGTAAAAAAAAAATATTAAACAGATTGGATTTTTATTTTTAATTGAAAAATGAGCAGAAGGGCTCTGGGAGGGAGACTTCACTCTGAGGAGGGCAGACGCATGGGGTTTGGAAACGCTCCCAGCACTGTCTTTGCCTCCCTAGGCAGATGCACACACTTCAGGCAGGTGCCCATGCTGCTGCCTGCACCCCAACGGAGGTGAAGGTGGTATGTGGAGTTTCTGAGTCAGCCTCAGGCACCTGAAGTGCTGCCCTCACTTATCATCATCCACAACCCAGCGTTCTGGCCAGGAAATAGCAAGGCATGCGACGTCCTGGTAGCCTCTCTGGGCTTGGTAATGTCAAGAGGTGATGTGGGATCAGCTAAACTCAACAGCTTGGCCATAGACCAGGAACGTATCTGCACCGTGGACACACACATCTCCATGTGTCAGAGACAGCGTCCTCCATTCCAGCAGATCCCAACATGGATCTGGTCACGCTGCAACTTAACACTTTCAAAAATGTTCAAGGAAAACATAAGGAATGGGGTAATTTTCCCTTTCTGTTTTACCATCTATGCAAGTCGAGGCACAAGACATATTTTACTGGATGGAAGATGGGGTTGAAAAGCAATCAGGAAGAATTAAAATCAGGGACTTGCAAATAGGCAGTTTGGGTCCTAACTCAGCGAAGAGCTGAAGCACAGACACTGGCCATGGCTGCACGTATGGGGGCAGGAAAGCGGACAGCATCAAATCGATGGAGGGAAAACAGATTTAAGAGGGAAGTTAAAAGAGACGGTAACAAAAGCACCTTCTAACCTAAAAACACAGGAGGCTGTTGGTAAAATCTTGCAATGAGATAAAGACACATCCGAAGGACCCGAGTCTACAAACAATGACAAAAACCTATGGATTGCAGGAAAAAGCATCCCAGAGGTGAAAGCTTTGGGCAGCCCTCACCTGCCCTTGTCAGCCCCTTTGCAGCCCCGCTCTCGCTGGGGCTCTGCACTTGCTCTCTCAAAGCCCTAACCCTAACCCTACACAGTGCCTGGGGCAAACACCCATCCCACCCAGCATCCCACCAAAATGCGCCCAGGACTGAACGTTTCCATGGCCCTTTTCTGACTTTGTCTGGAACAGTCTTGGGGAAATAGAAAGAAGCCCACGTAGTTCTTCAATATCACTTTTGGACGGACCATAATTACTGACAAATCCTAGTGTCTCATCTTTTAAGTAGATACAATGATATTGTCACTATATCCTAGAAAACCATTGTGCTGCTGCTACACCTTCATCCAACAGGCACCTTCCGCAGGCTCCTTTGCTACTTGGCTGCCAGCTGGGTCCGTACATGCCCTGGAAGGTGCCCACCCCCCCAGCCCAGGGTACTTACGAATGACAGAAAAGCTGCCATCAACAAGATGCGGACGAGGAGATCTTCAAACTGCTCCAGCACCAACTCCCAGAGGGACTTCCCTGGTGAGAAAACACCAAGCCAAGCACAGTCAGTGCTCAAAAAAACCCCAGAAGACAGGTAATTTAGACCACTGAGGCCACAGAGACCAACAGGACCCCATCTGCAGCTTGCAGCAGAGCTGCTGCAGTGCCCATCGGCTGTGGGCACTAGTGAGGACAGCCAGCTCTGCAATGGGGGATTTTTCTCTCTAATATTAAACAACGTCGGCCTGACTTTACTATGTCTGTTTCTAACTACAGAAACCAAATCCTCTGTGTTTCTATTCACAGCTGGTAGCCTTGCCATCACAGGAAAGCTCTGCTGTCAGCTCAGCTTTCTCTGAGATTAAAACCAAGATTAGAAGACCCCAAAGACTCCCCCCTCCTCACCCCCAGCATCTTCCACCCATGTACCCACCCTCACCTCCAGCCCATGACTTACCTTCTTCTGCAGGGAGCTCTGTGGGTTTTCATTGACAGCCCAGTGAACGTAACAAAGTAAAAAATGATAAAAATAAAAAGATTAATGAGTGATTTTGGCCCAAAGCAGCAATCCCTTCCCTGGTGCCCCAGCAGTCTAATCAGTACCCCCAAATGCAACTCGTTCTGCACATATTCCCACATCAAGACAGCTTGTCCTCAAACTTCTCAGTCTGACACCAAGTCAGCACCAGACGTTTCCTGCTGCAAGCAGCTCTGGCAGCATTTATTCCTGCACTCAGCCTGCCTGAGAAATACTCCTCAGGAGCTGTTATCTCCGAATCCAGGACACAGAGGTCCAACCACCCCATAAAACACCCTGCCAGAAACCCAGTATGGACCTGCTGGGGACTGTAACTTCCAGACCACATTTCCTATTAATCCGTTGTAATTTGCAGCCTGCACTTCTCTAGGAAAGAAATCCAAAGCTGATGCTTAGCTGGTCCAAGCCATCCTTCTGAATCCACTCCCGTAGGTACAGAGCCTCCATCCACACTGGTCTCAGCCAAACCCAAGCCCAGTCATCTGCAGAACCTGGAAAAACCCCAAGGGCTTCCGAACACCCATCACGGTCTCCCTGAGACTCCCGCATCCACCATGGGTGACATCTTCATACACCGCATGCACTGGAGTGTCCCATGGCTACCGAGCACTGCACAAACCCCAGTACCCACCAAGGGCATCGCTCCTGCTTCCTCACCCGTGCAGTAATGGTTGTGCTGGCCCTGCTGTGGGCAAGGTTTGGCCAAGGACTGCAAGGTCCTGCACCCAGGGAGGGCTCAGGAGTGACCTCAGCTGGTTTTGGCTGCTGATGGGTGCTCATCTCCATTTGTACCCACTCTTGCTGCTTTCAGGGTGAATCCTTTGGCTGCCCACAGAGCAGCTCCGAGGGAAGCTCGCAGCTGGACCAGAACCTCTGACAACGGCCCAAGATGGGGAAATACAGACACTGCAGCTGTCTCACAGAAGAGGAAATCTAGGATTTGCTGAGCACAGCAGAGCTTGCTGGAGATGGAGAAACCCAAGTCATGAATCAGCAAAGCCTCGGGAGGGCTGTGCTGGTGGCTCAGTGCTTCAAGGGAAAGCACCGAGGTGACATGACACCAGGGCAGGGTACCCACTGCCTCCATCCTTTGATGCTCTGGGGTGGGAGGGGACCGGACAGAAAACCCCAACCCCAAACCTCACAACAGTGAAAAATTTAGGCAGAAACCTCCCGAAGAGCTGTCCCAAAGCTGCCACTGTCTGTCACCTACTTCTGCGCCCCATGGGGTGATAATAAAACAAGCTGTTCCTCCAACTCCTTGCATTTCTGGGAGGCAATAAGGGACTAGCTGAAGTTCCAGAGGAATCAGCCCAAGGCAGACACACGCGATGCCCTGTCACTGAACCAAACACGGGGTTGTCTCCGAGCACCCCTACAACACAGCCCTGAGCAAGAGCAGGAAGTGAAACCTGCTCGGCTGTTTTCCATCATCTATTTTCATTCAGAGAAACGAAAAAAATAACACAAAACCAAACCCACCTTCACTAAACAAACCAGTGAAAACAAGAAGCCTGAACGTGTTACGTGCTTACACTTCAAACTGCACCAGCTCCTCAGTGCTCACAGACACACTTACTACGAGTGGTTTTAAACCCACGTCCCTCCTAGATAAGGCTGCTCTGAGCCCCTGTCAGCGTGAGAAACAGACCAGTACGTAACACCTATAATTATTCTTATAGAAAAAAAAATCTTGGAGCTGCTTCAGCGCTTCAAATCTCTCTTCAGAGCATGTCAGAAGAAAAGTGACTCTTCTCCCTTTTGCAGCCTGCTTCTCCACCTCCAGCTTCCTCTCCCCAGCCCAGAGAACCACCAAAATTAAAAGTAGAAGAGATCTGCTGCTGCTATTTCCATCCAGACTCCATTTTAAGGGTGCAAACGTGCAAGGTGAGAGGGCTCTGAGGGAGGTGGCTGGGGCTCCCACAGGCCTCGGCTCTGCCGGGGTGCCCAGGGGTGACGCTTCACCCAGAACGTCGCGGTGCTCTTCGTGCTTCTCCCACGTGGTGTTTGCACGAAGAGCCGCAGCGACGCCATTTGCAGAGCAGTGACTTTGCACGAGCTCTTGATTAAACCATGAAAACGGGTTGCTGTGAACTTAGGAGGAAACATGTGCAGCAGGGCAGCCAGCTGAAATAGCACCGGTGGCAGAGTGACACTGTGCCATCGGTCACCGAGCCTCAAACATTAGCAATGCTGCTGCAGGTGCCTCCCAAAAACCCACAATTTTGAGTGCATTGACAACCGGCACCTCCCCTGCCATCAGTGACTCTTTCCGTCACGCTTCACGTGGCAGCTCAGCACACGTTTTGCACCAAATGCTGAGAGAAAAGGGGCAGAAAGTCACAATAAACTCACAGTTTTGGGTCTGAATTGATCAAAACCCACCAGAAAACAGGAACATTTGGTGTTGAAGCCTCTCCTTCTTCCCTTCCAAAGTCTCACTAGAAATAAGAGGGCTTGCTACTGGCCAAAACCCGAGTTTTATGTGAGTCAGCCCTGTGGCACCTGGCAGGGCAGCAGAGCTGGTGCCGAGCTGCAGTGCTGCCATATCCCACCCAGCCGGGAAACCCGCCGCAGGCAGGGAACCAGCAAAATCCCAAATCTGCAATTCCCTTGGGACAACACACCGAGCGCAGACAGGGCGAAATGGAAACTCCTGGCTGGCACCCGAATAGCTCCTTTTTTCAGGTGGTGGCTCAGAGCTCAGCACAGAGATCCTGCTCTGTGCCCAAGCTCCCCGACACAGTCAGAAGACAAAGGCAGTAACACCACCAAGGGTAGAAAGCGATAACGGTTTCTCAGAGTATCCCAAACCAGAGCCACCCACTCACACCATAAATTTTCAGCTTCTTGACTGAGCAGTCCCAGCGAGAGACCTGCAGCTTGTGGACACATATCTGCGGTTTCTCTGCTCCTGCTCTTCTGCACCGTGGCTTTGGAGGGCAGAGCCAAGAAAGTAGAGATACCACAACGGGGTGATGGGTGTCTGGCTGTCACAGGACCATTCCTACCTGCAGAAGTGTGACCTAGCCTCTGGGTTATCAAGCAGAGAGGTGCAGGCAGCCCTGGCTCCACTGGCTTTGCCTTGCAGGGACACAAAACACAGTCAGCTCCTGGGACTGATGAGGATTTGCAACTTGCTCTGAGCTTGTCACATCACAACATCTTTCCTCGCTGTGCCATCATGTCACACAGTGACCGTGGCCCAGTCTGGGCTGACAAAATATTGATAAGAGATGCTCTAAGGGCATGCAACAAGCCCAGCCACCCTGGGCAGACATGGGGCTGGTGTCAGGCTATTTTAGCTGGAGGTTAATCTCCAGCTCCTGCCAACTCAAACAGGGCTGGCAGCCCACAGGCTGGCGCCTGCAACATGGCAGGGCACGGTAATCAGGTGATGAAAAGGTAAATAAACACGGGTGCCACCCACGAGCGAGGCTGTGCGGGTGCAGGCTGCTGCCCCGGGGCTCTGCGACAGCGTTCATGTCCCCGGGGAGACCCTGTCCCACTTTCCGGGCCAAAGCAAACAAATAAAATGTGACAGGGTGGCGTTGGGGTTGCTTTAAAGAAATGTTTGAGTTTCTCCTGCTGTAACAGGATCAAAAATCCCCAGAGCAGCACAGCCCTACAGCAGCTGGTGTTTCTCCACTGTGCGCTGAGGTATCGCATCCCACTCTGCTTTTGGAGAAACTGAGGCACGAGGCGACACTCTCAGGCCAGCACATGGCAAAGCAAACCCTGGTGCATGCTCAGACCTGACGTGTGACCCACAACTGCAAACATCTTGCAGGGTGAACACTGACATACTGTTTTCCCCACCATCTGAGGAGCTTCCCTAGGATAAAATCAGATTTCCCTATGGGAAACACTTCTGCCATCAAGTGATGTGGAAAGGGGAAGGGCAACGGTGCCCACCACGGGGGATAATGATGAGCATCGTGCCTGGGCCCAGCTTTCTGGTCCAAATAACTTCCTTTGAGCTATATTTCTGTGTTATAAACTATTTTTTTTTCTTTGCCTTTAATTTATTTTTCCATATGTAGGGAAGGGGAAATAGACAGGCAAAACAAGGGACACATCCGATTCCCAGACTGCCAACAGGCAGGAAAAAGGCCCCAAGAAAGTAGTGGAAAGAGTCAGAAAAACATAAAATATCCCCAGCTGGGAGAGCAGTCCCCCTCGGCTGACATAAAGCAGGAACGCAGGCATGGCTGCTCTGGGATCCTTCCACCATCCCGCAAGCACCAGGCAGAATAAATTGTTATTTTAACTGGCTGCCTTTCCCAGGGCCGGCTGCGCGGGAAGGATCCCGTCCTGGAGGGACATCTGCTCTCCTTCATCCCCGGTGACAGCCGGCACCGCTCCGCGTCACCCGCGCTCCACAGAACGCTGGATTGCACAACCAGGAAGGGCTTTGCTGGGTTGTTTGAAAGCAAGCTCAGCCCATCACCTTCTGGGTGTAAATCCTGCCTGGGAATGGAGGCATGAAGCTGCTCACCACCTTGCAGGTCACACCTGAGCTGCAGAAGTGTGACAAAACAGCATTTGCAAACCAATCCCAGGTGTTCTAGCGTTATCTGGGATGACAAACACTCAAAGCCTAATGGTGCTAATGCTACCTGATGTTCACAGAGGACAAAACATGGTTATCTAAGTGCCTCGGCTGTGTATTACTTAACCCACACAGCTTTGCTTTTACATACAGCTTCACGCCTGCGCTTGCCAGCGCATCCCTGGAGATTGTCCTGCACCTCACCTCTCACCCAGGCTCCGGCCACATGCGGGGGCAGGACACGGCTCTGCTTGGGAAGAGCAGGACCTTCAGGGTGCTGCTAAAGGGACTTTTTGAGGCTGTTTCAGCTTCTGCAGAAGCAGCCGGGCTTCAGCTGAGGTCTCACCCTGTGGCATCCTTTTGCCTGGCTGGAGGGGAAGCCAGA